CAAACAACAAATTTGAAATGCAAGCGACCATACATCTTCACGTACATACGTAAGCATACTACCTAACTCGAGTGCTTTAATGTTCTAGACGTGCATTGTACAAAATTTTAACAATTTATTACATTAGGTCGTTGTCGCTTATGATGTCAGAGAGACAGACAAATGACTGGACAGAATTACGACGGAAAAAAAACAATGTATCGCGATGCTAATGGACGCGGAGAAAAAAAGTGCAGAAAAATAAATATTTAATACTTAATAACTAAACGCAATTTGCATTCGGATACACGTCGTATTGTGCAAAAAGTATTGAGTTTCTTTGATTAGCATACTGTCATTGTCACTGATACGCTAAACGGCCAGTTCGTGATAATTGGCATACAAGTATACATGCGGCTTGTATGAAATGTGTATGACGTGACCAGATGATAGAATTGATTAACATCCCTTATAACGATCCATACAGAAATGTGGATAGATATGGAGGCAGAGGAAAGTCCAAAAGAAGATGTGTGAAAAATAGGGCAAAATAAAGAGTGTATAACGAACTGACTGTGAATAGAAATGTATGAAAATGACAATATATGACGCTGACCCCAAATTAACCTTATTAATAAATTATGGTATAAGGAAAAGGAGATGGTTATTAACACCACTAGCAGACACCAATGAAATTATTTTACAATTTGATTTACAATATTTAACCACATTATTAAATAGGTGTGTTCAATTAAAAGCCTCGGTGATCTAGCGTTTAGTACACCATCTTACTTAGTCGCGGGTTCTGAGTCAACATTTGTATTCGTAAGTATGTTTGTTTGACTTATTCTGGGTGCTTTCTATGTATATTATTGTATTTAAGTATTTATATCAGTTGTCTAGTGCCTCAACAAGAGCTCTGCTTAGTTTATGCTGTATGTATTATCCAGGGTTTATTATTATTATTGCTTAACCGTCTCTTTGATTTTGTATAGACTTATTTATTTTATATTATATATAAGTATACTTATTCATGTTATGTTTATTATTTCGCAAAATGTTTAGTCAAATAGTAATTTTAACATATCAATTCTAGGGTGCGGTCATGACATACTGATGTATGATACATATACAATGTATTATAAAACGAACACGTGTCGGAAAAGTGATAATTATTATGAAAGTAATAATTGTCAAAAATAAATTGTGCGTATTAATTTTAATAATAATTTAATAATTTATTTTATGCCATAAGTATATTTTATACAAATAATTTCTGAAGTCCCTGACTTCAGCGGTAGGTGCAGAAAATACTTGTGTTTGAGAAGTCAGTGTCCTCTTCTATATTGTGGTGTACTTATAAGAGTAAGTATTAGGATCAATTACCTATCAATCTACCTACATTTATCAAGATATTAAGAAATTTCATTATCAATAAATCGTTATCGTAAATTTTGTATAATTTATAGGGAAATCGATTTTAAACCAACATTGAAAACATGATGGTTCTAAGTTCGACGGTTTTGTCTATATTAATTGGAATCAATAAATCGGAATTAAGACAAAAATTTACTTTGCATAGAGTTTCCTGCGTGTTGTGATTGTTTAAACCTTGTATTTATATGTTATACAACTCTTCCTCCCTTGTAGTTACACTATATTTTTAATCCCCATTTGGTTATGTGAAACAAAACCTTGAATTATAGTTTCAATTATCATTATTATGATTCTATGATATACAACACTGTATTCGTAAGCTATAAACATAAGATTACCTTCAAATAAGGTAAGTATAGTATGATTGTTTTGACACATAACCCGAATGACATGACGGAACGACATTTGATATCCATTCGATTCTTGTTACAATCGGATACCGATTCGAATCAGCGATTTCGACGTAAAAACATGCACAGGCGCAAACAAAGAAGCCGCCGCATAAGGATCGATGAAAATTCCAGAATTTGCGTGTTTAGTGCACATACGTATAAAATATGAACACTTTATAATTCGCACAGTTTATATAACACCATGGCTAAATATTCTAATCACTAAGAATTCTAAAGGCGTCTACTTTTAGTAGGTAAAATGGTCAGAAAGAATTAAATTATGAATATACCAGATATTCCATTATTGTGTAAATTTAACTAAAGTATTTATTTCGTTATTATATACTGTACTACTAGCTACCCGCCCAGACTACGCACGGGGGTACATGTATTATACCTACAAACCTTCCTCTTGAATAATCTATTGTTAAAAACTACATTAAAATCCGTTGCGTATTTTAATAGATCTATGAGAACATACATCTGAAGCTACTTCATTTTATACTATGTAAAGATATAGCTAACACTTGCGACTTCTTCTGTATCACATTTTCATCGTTTTTATGACATTTTTAATCGCTTGAGATACGAGTACAGGAATGTCTTCTTCTGATCTACCTAGCACTACGTACTGGATACATAATAATAAATATATTTATTTATTATTATTTAAAAACTTCTCTAACTTCGTTATCATGATATGTCCAATAAAAATTACATTAAAATAAAAATCTAAATAATCGAAGAAATAAGATCCACAGCTTAAAACTTTGGACACTTGTACGTAATGGTCACCTGACAAAACAAGAATATGACCGCTATATCGCCTCGCCATTTGACCCTACAATAAAAATCAACCGTCAATAATACTTTTTATTTTTTAAAGACAAAATTTCTGTGGCGATACTGTCAAAGCAATACTGTGTGCACATTAGATCGTTACTTTACGTGTAATAATGTGCCCAAATTGGTGAATTCAATTTGTTGAAACACTAGTGTGGATTGATAATAATTATGACCACATTTCCGGGTGGTATGGGGTTTTTCAACTCGAATTTTAAGCGAAATCTGTTAAATACAAATGTTTTAGTCACATTTCTCCGCGTTTAGTTCCAATAATGTGTATAATGAAGCGTTATCATACTGATTTTATAACCTTTTTATTGTCTTTTCGTTTAAAGGTTTTTAATACCAGAATTATATGCAATTTTATATATTACATTTATTATGTAACTGTTATTGATAAATTATTGTTTTATTAATTACATATGTAATACAATTAGGCTAATTAAGGTATACTATTATGGCAATTCTAAATTTTAGCTTTGTATCTTATAAAACCTCTAATAAGAACCGCTTGATTCATAACTCAGAATTTAAAATCGTTCACCGACTCCATCAGTCAAGCATTTATTGGTCAGACTCAAAACCAACACTTTTTTAACATCAAAGCCTATATTACATTAATATGTCACCATAATATGAACATTAAAACCACTCAGAATATTCGACATTCATTCGATGAAATATTTTATAGTAATTTAAAGTATGAGAAGTCATTTCATAATGTGCATAAGGAACATAAAACTAAAGTAACACATGCAAATACATACATATATGATTGTGTGAAAATTTAACAGGATACGGGATTAGTTATTGAGCATGTTTCCCACAAAAAGTGGCTTATTTTTTTAAATTTTCATATAAATATTTATATTATTTTATTTTAGGTTGCATGATGTAGATTAGATCGTGAAATTACAGGATAAGAGGCATAACACATTAGTCCACTCGAATAGCGACGCATGGGTATCACGTGTGTCTGTGATAACGTGATGACACCCATGTGGCTGTTCATATATATTAGGGCGACGGTTACCGTTTACTTTCATGTCGGCCATCAGTTTTTCTATTCCTATTATATAAAAAAACCTAATTTTTTGGTGTATTATGTATATGTATGCTAAAACTGGATTCTATGTACTTGTAATCTTACGGAAATTACCATTTACCCTTTTATTCCTTCTCTTAATTTTAGTGCCGATCAATAAAGATTTCGATGCAATTAGTCACAGCCAGATATTGTGGGATATCGCGTATTGGTGATACGTTTTACAGTCTCCATTAGTAATTAGTACTGTAAGTTTTTGGCAATAAAATTCTCACGATTAATGTGAGAACTTTATTCCATTTATATTTCCTTTGCCAAGTAAGGACACTTTTGCATTAGTGATAATCACGAAACATACACTAGACATGCAAGTCTGTATCGTGTAACTCAAAGATAACTCAGACATTTTTAAATCAGGTACTCGACTGACTTAAATCGTACATAAACTTTTTACAAAATTTTATGTTAATTTTCATTTTTATTTTAATTGTATTTTTCAAATACATATAAATAAAAATTAATAAACATCAACATCATCAAAGTAATATAAACATTGAGTAATTATATAACAACCATTATGAAAGAATTTCCTATTCCTAAATGTTACGTTCTATAAATTAATATTATTGTACAAAAGTGAATAACTATTATTATTATTATTATTTACGGTGTGCAAAATTTAGCTCATTTCCGATTTATCGTACTAATGACTCTGATAACTCGCGTATTGAAACGATTTTTATTGTATCCATCAAATGAATTAGCCATTACGACTGATGTCTTAAAGTTAATGAGTGTTTTAAAAAAACGCCTTTTCGGACATTACCTCTTTTTGCGGAATTTTTTATACAGTCAAAGTGCAGTGTCATATACAACATATAATATTATACATAATGTAATAAATTTATTTGCTAGAAATATTGTCTGAATAGATTTAACATTCATGTTTGCATTTATTTTGTTCAATATGTTTTGCAATGAGGAATGGTATGAAAATATTAATTTTTAACATTTTCAATGAACAAATATAATATTATTTAAACATAGCATGCGTAGTATAGGTAGTGTGTACAGAAGTATTAAAATTAAAAAAAAATACAAATTAAATAGAATTGTCCAAGAAATCGGAAATGCATTGTGACAACAGCCAGATACGAAAAAAATTAGACAAATGTAATATTTACGATGACGTTAACGTTAACAACATACCTTTCTAAATACTATAAAAAACTAAATATACTTCTGCCTAACCCATAATCTGGCGTGAAGATACCACCGATGTTAGAATCAAATAGACTTACCTCCGAATTAGAGGCGGGTGCTCTAAATTTGAAGACAGGAGGGGAGTACGCTTGCGCTGCCTTCGCCGTCGATGTGTGTTGGGAGGTGCCAATGGTTGCTCTATTGCCATCGGAGCAGTTGGCTGGTGGACCCCGCAACTCCTCGATCTGGGCACCGAGGAGCTCGTTGCGGAGTAGGCAAGCGTAAGCGAGGTGGTCTCTACCACCACTAGTACCGTCACTGCCGCCACCGTCGCCGCGCGCTTTTTTCGCCGGCTGATTTTCTGTGCTACGACGTATTGCTGTAAAAATAAAGGAAAAAAATGAAAAACAATTGTTATCTTACAACTAGCACTAGCAGAGCCCTGAGAGAGGGCATTGGTAGTCATTACAAATAGTGTATCCATTGCTAGCAATGTAACATGTTAGGTTGAAGTCAATGGCAAAGTCAGTTCCCTTGGACATATGGTTGGTTGGTTAATTCCTGATGGATTCACATTACAGACTAACTTATGTCTTATCATCTTCCACTGTTATCCCGCCAGCACAGGCAGGTGTACCATTCCATTATTACCTATAAAAAAATAATCTGAGCTTTGAGAACTAGAGTATCATTCAGAATTCGATTGCAATAAAACAAGCACTAAAGATGAACACTGTACTTTAATGATAACCATACTTAAATCAGTTAAGCTGTTTCCGAGATTAGCACTCACAAGCACACAGACAGACGAGTTATTTATAAGTATAAATGTCCATGGCACTCAGTCCTCTGTGCCTGCTCCGTAAGGGGTCTGGTGTATAGATAAAAAAAGATAAATTTGTATAAATGCGACGGTAAGCCGAGAACACCTATGTCAAAAGTTCTTCCACCTATATATATTTATGAACAGAATCTAAGAAATCAGATCGATAACACCACGATTAATCATACGCGTAACAAAGTATTCCTTACAATTCATTAACATGGACAGGTGCATATGCTTATAGCGGTGGACTAATAAAAAATTTAAACAATGATTAATGATAAGAAAACATAAGCATAACACAGAGACTTGGATCCGAGATGGAGCCAAAATCGACAGCGTCATTTTTTGCAAAGATAAGTTTTGTAGACGGACATTTTATATTTATATCTATTAATTAATTTTATAACCATGAACTAAAGTATTACATAATCCCATTTATAAGGTACAATGCACATTAATTTTATCTATCTACTCGGTATTAAAAAAACTACGTAATTTTATGTAATCTATCTACACGTCAGATTTCATTAACAGCAGTTTAGTAGTAAAAAAGTAACAAACAGACAGAAACACTTTCAGATTTATAATATTAGTAAAGATTATCAAACATTATTCTCGATACGAACCCAAATCATATGCATAATTTTTTTTCTGCGCACGAGTTAAAACGCGATACGAAACCATGCGTCCGTATGGCGCGTGCCGTGCTGTAGAGTAACCTCTCTGTACAAAAATATCCACAAATATCCTAAAAACTTCATACCTAGTAAATTTAATGTCTGAATTTTCATACTGTCTAATCTCAAGTGAACATAATAACAACAAACTGATTAAAAAAAATATATTGATAGATTTTCTTGCTAGTTCCTAATTTCCTATTTGAGACTATAGACGATATAGAAAAATATTAAATGACGGAAGATGTCCCAAAATAAATAAATAATTACGAATTTAACTTTTATAAAAAACACAGCTATACGTTACACAAGAGTATTGTTATGAGTAACAACGGATCAATAAATAATAGGTATTAGAATAAAATGCTCTTTTATAATCGAAAACATCCATAAGCTCTTTCAAGAATATTTCGTTTTCGGTTAATACGAATAACAACACATATGTTTTTTGCTTAGAACAATTAAAAGAGGTTATATTTGATAAAAAACACTTTTAAATTTCGAACGTGTACCTACGCATCCGCTAACTTCTACATCGTATTTTATTTCTTTTTCGATAAGTACAAATAAAAATACATTATACCCTATGTTATGGTTAGAACAATTAAAAAAGGTTATATTTGATTAAACAATTTTAAATTTCGAACGTGTATCTACATATCCGCTAACGTCTACAGCGCATGGTCACCCAACACATGTGATGTGACTCACTCGCAGAAAAAAATGTGATTTGACTTTTACAAACTAATGTTTCATGACACGAATTGCCAGCTCTGTGAGGATTAGCTTATTTATCTGTTTTAGGTGCGACTCGCGAGGTAATTCTTTCACGTTCTTATCAGGTTGTACATTTCTATTGACAGGTCGTTTTTATGTCGAATGAGCAAAGATGTTAGACCTAATAATAATAACTAGTAGTCGCCCAATAGTCTAAATTCGACCATTGGATAATTAATTTAAATTAGATAGAATATAATAGAAATATAATAAAAATAAAAAAATATAATAAAATAATATAGAAATAAGTAATAAAATAGAAATAAGTAAGTTTCTATGCGTGTGTGCTAAAATACGTGGTAGTGTGTGCAATATTTTTTCTTGATTTAATGTATTTATTATGCATACTTAAAAATATATATTAGCATTTTGAATAGACAAGAATTCTATTTAAACTATAAGTGTGCGAAATTTTATACTTCTCCGTCCGTTTCATAATTCTTGTCCCTGGCGGGTCTAACACAATAGATCTATGCAGGTTGCAGGTCTCGACCACCTGAGCCCAAAACCATGAATAAAAAAAACTTTAAAATATTTGATACAAATGTATATTGCGCGGATATCGAACCTACGACCATCTGTAAATGCATAGAACGTTGTAACGCTGGACCACCAAGATCATCAAGTATATACAAATATAGGCATTATTTGTGCAAGACGCAGATAACGTTTGCCAGGCAGAAATCTATTTATATAAATATAGTTAGTAAACTGATAAATGCATGGGAAAATAAATCTTCATATTATTATAAAATCTATGCAGGTTCTTGACATTGCAAGTCAATAACGTTACAAGGAGAAAATGCTAAGGGAATTCTAAAGAAAAGCTTTATCAACATCAAGATCGAGCCGATAGATCGACCAATAATTATTGCATCTAATATTAAAAAAGGAAGAAAAATAATTTAAATAACAATTTCTTGGAAATCCCCCTTAAAGCTATGGATATGGCTATAAATAAAATCTAATATGGTGACATTGATGTACAGATTACCTCAGCGACAGTAAGTCATTAATTTCGCTTTGACCAAAATGCGGCAACCTGGGAGAGCGTGACAAAAATAATACTTCCTTTAGGGAACTGTCAGGGAGAGTTAATGATTCATGACTATGTCATCAGTGAATCAGAGAGTAGGCGCGTTGCAATGCCTAACCACAATAATGGCGTCTAAGAAACGTTTGTATACAATTATAATACACGTAGGATGAAACCAAGACTTTGCCAGACAGACTATAAAGAGTTTTGTTCGTAGGTTTGTATCACATTTTCAGCCACCAAGAACTTGCTTTAATAAGCTGTTTTCCTCTTTGAAGGTTTAGGGAAATACAAACAAACACTTTAGACCACTGGAATGGTAATGAATGACAATGACTAAGAGCATTCAAATGTATTTTATAATAATGTTCTATGTAGATGCCTCTGACCAGTTTGATTGTTGTCATTCCAATAACATAGAAAAACTAACAATATTAGATTATTTGCCATAATAATTATAGTTGATTCATGAAAATAAAATAAGTAGGTACAAACATACAAACTGATAAAATGTTATCAATCTAAATATTTTCCTACACCTATCATGATAAAATATAACAGCATGTTGGCATTAATTTTTTCTAATCATATACAAATAGTCTTGTACATAAACCAGATTTATGAAAAAACAAATCTGGTTTAGTTATTTTAGACCTAAAATATTTCATTGTGTGCAATACCAAAGGATATCGTCGTACGGCGATTTACACGGTCAGGCATTCAAACGTACATGTATATTTAAAGGAAAACATCAATTCCTACCTATATCAAATACCATTCAACAATGAACAATCGGCTATTGCTGGCGGGTTGCGTAAACATCATATCAACACCAAATTTATTACGGTCGATGCACTTCCTAAATGCATGTGAGACATCGGAAACTAAATAATGTATTATTGAAAGACGAGAATAATACAGATATGATAACCGAGTTCAGTCACATCTATTCCTTCCTGAGCGGGCGACCATACAAGGCGACGTAGACCCGCTATATTTGGTTAGGCTACGTGACAAACGTTGGTCCAGGCACCACAATTAATTCAGAGTGCCGCCAATTTCGTCCGTATCCTGGCAAATGCGAATTCGTGCTGAATTTATAAAGAGTTAGGGTCGATATTACCAAGTAACTATTTCTCTAATCCTAACCGTCTTTTGCGAGGCCTCCACCTACATGGACACTGCCCACATCCAATTCTTCGACAAGACACAATTGAGAATTGGTCTAAATTGAACAACTATGTAGCAAACTAAACAAGTAATAATGTTAAAGAATTTAGTGCATGCTTATGTAGAACCAAGTACGATAAGTATTATCGCTTTAGAAATGTGTCACGCACTTGTCCATTATCTTTTTGCACGACAGGTGTAGAAAAAAATATCTTTGTACAATCCAGGAATCGTTTGGACCTGATAACTATTTTACTGAGTCAGAAAGCATGTCCCGTGAATCTAATAAAATATGATAAATATATATAATACAAAAAATACAATATTTAACTTCTTAAACTAGATTCTTTAGATCAAGGTAGCTGCACATTTGCTCTGTTCAATGTCTAACATGATCTCTATGATCTGATAGCTTTTCTGTGCTCACAGTGTTATCTTATAAGTCCCGTATTCTACTATCTAATCTGTAGAATGGGATAAGTGATCAGGAATCGTGGGATTCAATACAAAGCTATCGGACATTCGCATAACATGGCAAATATGTATTTATTTATTTATTAGTATCATCTAATTTTTATTTATACAGACAAGGCTATTTTGATCTCAAACACGAATTGAGCCAAAATCAAGAATTAATATTAGGAAATGTAAGTAATTTTTAAGTGTTAATGTAAACTGTATAACGATAAAGTTTAAAAAGCCAGTGATTAATGAAACTGAAAAACTTCACCGAAAAAAACTTAGAAAAAACAAATTATACTTAGAATCTTCGTACACTAATGACGAACTAGTCTGAATATGATTAATTAATGTAGTAGAATTATAATTTAAATTTGTTTTGTCACATTTCCACTTCGTTTCTTGATGAAAGCTTTTAGTTTCTGTTATTAAGG